ACCCCTACTATTCTGTGATTCTGTGGGGACGGCGCCTGCCCAGCAGCATCAGCCCCAGGGAGCCCGTCCTGCTGCCTCGCGGATGGCGTTAAGGAGACCTCGGCCGTCCCTCTGACGGGACAGACCTTGCCCGAGACACGGACACCGACCGGCTGCCGGCCTTCAGAGACGGTGGGCACAGCACAGGCACCGGCCGGGAACGGCCGCTCCGGACTCTCTCCTGGCCCCTTACACGCAGCAAATACCCTACTGACCGAGCAGGCTTTCTTTTTTTGAAAACTTACTTTGAAAATGGGGAAAAAATACCTATTTTGATACAAACTGACTGTCATAGCCAGATTAATTTTTTTTTAAATTGAAGAAAATGCCAAATGTAGTTTAGAAGATTTATTTTAAAGCTTTTACAATACTGTTGTCTGAAGAAAACAGAGTTAGCTTAGAAACAGCTTAATACAAATTAAAAAAAATTAATGCAAAAGGGAAATAAAAAAACCCTCAAGACATGTTGTTTATTCTTTGAACACGTGAAGGCGGCCGCTGGAGTTGCCGCCCACCAAGATGTTCCTGCTGGGATGAACCACGTTAATGGAACAGACGGACCCAAGGCAGTCGGGGTTGTAGAAGGAGTGCAGCAGTTTCCCCGTGTCCTGGTAGACCTCGATTTGCCTCGGCTGCGCCATGCTGCCCACCACGAAGCAGTCCTCCTGCTTAGGGTCCCATATCGCTCTGAACCTCGTCAACCAGCGGCCCGTGTTATTGTTGTGTCTTCAGAGCAGCAAACAGGGAGGGAACAGACGGACCCAAGGCAGTCGGGGTTGTAGAAGGAGTGCAGCAGTTTCCCCGTGTCCTGGTAGACCTCGATTTGCCTCGGCTGCGCCATGCTGCCCACCACGAAGCAGTCCTCCTGCTTAGGGTCCCATATCGCTCTGAACCTCGTCAACCAGCGGCCCGTGTTATTGTTGTGTCTTCAGAGCAGCAAACAGGGAGAAAAAAGAGAGAGAAACATTCCTCTGACTGAGTCCAGCACCTTTACGTATCGTCCCTTACGGCGTATTTGCTTAAGCCCCCCCC